ATCTTGGGTCACCGGGAAGGTGAGTCGAGACTGATCTTGGAAACTTCCTCTTTTCAAGAGGGCGTCCTCTGCTTCTTATGCTGGAATTTGGGAACTCTTGGAGGCTGGTGGCGGGCTGGGTAAGGGGTGGCAGGGCGGGGAGGCCCTAAGTGCTCTGTCCTGCTCTAGGTTAGGGCCGCGGAAGCAGCCCCCACACCAGGTGGAGGTGGAGACCGTGGAGAAGAACGTCACCCGCATCAGCCACAAGGTTTTCTTCCCCAATGACACCAATGTGGTGAGTCCCCTAGCCTGTGCCTCAGAGCAAGGCCCCTCCCCGCTGGACCCTCCACCCCAGGAGATGGACAGGCCATTGGCAGATAGATCAGGCTTCTCAGCTGGACCCTCTCCGGCACCCCCAGCCCCATCTCCTCTGAGCAACTGCTCATCTCTCCTCGATGCCCCTGAAAGCCTTCGAGTGCTGCAAGCCGGGACAGGGGGAGGTCATCTGAGGGGAGGCAGCTTGTACAGTGGTGGTGCCAACCTCTGCTTTCTAGGCAGAGGCCCTGCCGGTAGTGTGGGCAGTGAGACAGAGTCCCAGGGGTGTGCTGGCTGCCAGGATGGTCTAAGGGACAGGTGGGAGCAGGAGACTGTCACGACCTGCTATGGCCTGGTTGTGACTGCAGCGGATCCCAGAGCCAGGAGGCAGGGCTGGGGTGAATGATGCCACCTCTCAGCATTTTCCCCCTGTCCCCCAGATATACGGGGGCTCTTTAGTGTGAGAGCCCCATAACAGGAAGTTCCCACAGCCGGGCCGTGCCTGGCTCCGAGTAAGTTCAAAAGTCCTGTGGCCTTTTGAGACAGTGACTCTAAGACATGGGAATGTCTCTACCACTTTGGAGAAGTGAAAGACAGTCCTTCTTTGAACAGAGCCCAGGCAGCCAGCCCCTCTTGAATGGGGCACCTCCATGTCGAGAAAGGGTGAGTTTTGAGGGGATCGTGACAAGCAGCCCCTCTCCTGAGACATGGCCTGGCTGCCTCTGTGCTCAGGTGCTGGAAGTAAACAGCGGCGTGCGGGTCCGGGAAGTGTGTGAGAAAATTTCCAAACAGCTGAAGCTGAGCTCCTGGGAAGGCTGCAGCCTCTTCATCAAGATCACCGACAAGGTATGCCTGTGGGCATGAGTTGGGGTGGGATGCGTGCGGGTGGGCAGCAGTGTAGGTGAGGGTGGTCTCCTCAGGGACCATGAAGCACCCTCCATGGCCACAGTCTGAACCTCTGAGGACACTCCCCAGAAGCTCCTCGACCTGCCCATCCCCCTAAGCCTTCCTCCCCACCCATCCCAGGTCATCAGCGTGAATGAGGGAGAATTCTTCTTCGACTCCTTGCGGAATATTTCAGACTGGGTGAAGAAGAACAAACCCCAGAAAGAAGGTAGCATCGTCTTCATAGAGCAGGGGTGTGGGGTGGGAAAGATAAGGAAGGAGGATGCGGCTGGTCCGGGACCAGATGCCTCCTAGAACAGTCAAAAGAGTCTTCTAGAACCTCCAGCATAGCTCATTCATTCATTCATTCATTCACTCACTCATTCAGTCACTCATCCATTGATTGATGGATTCATTCGTTCCTTTACCTTTGTGTTCCCTGCTCATGGGCACAGCAAGGCCTGGAGCCAGGTGATGAGGATGCAGTCCTGGCTGGGACAGGGCAGGGCATGTGGACAGATGGTGACTGCAGGAGATCCGATGCCCAGTGGGCGGTTGGGGGCCAGTCCTGGAGATGGTGCATGCTACACAACTCAGGATTGCTGAGGAGGAGTTGAGGGGGGTGCAGGCACACCCAGCAGGGATGTGCAGGCTGCGTGGTGTCACTGAAACCTCAGGGGGGGGGGTGCAGGACTCCAGGCTGCCTGGATGCTCACCCCCTGTCCCTGTCAGGGGCCCCCGTGACACTGCCCTACCAGGTGTTCTTCATGAGGAAATTGTGGCTCAACGTGACACCAGGGAAAGATGTGAATGCAGACACCATACTCCATTACCATCAGGTACCCGGGAGGGTGTCCTTGGGGGAAGCATTTGGCCTGATCTCACCTACCCCACAACACCCCCGGAATGTAGGGACTGGGCTAGGCCAGCCCAATGGCCTTCGTTAGGGCATATGGTCCTTTTTTCAGGACTCAGGCCCAGCTCTGACAGTGTTGGAGCTGGAGCAGAGGGAGGACAGGAGACCAAGAGACAGCGGGTGTGCCTGTACCTACTGTGTGCTGGCAGGGGGAGGGCGGGGGGGGGGGCAGTAGCCCCAGAGTATTTCTGAGCACTGGGAACACTTCCTGCTGGAGTGTATATGAGAGGAGGGGAGGGGTTTGTCACTCTTTCTGCTACAAACTCTCCTCCAAAGACCACGGCTGTTTGCCATCCCAGCCTTCTGCTTGAACCCGGGGAAGTGATAGCTTGGGCCCTTGCTCCCTTGAGCTCACAATGGGGGCAAGCCCAGCGCCTATGTATCTGTCTCTCAGGAGCTGCCCAAGTACCTGCGCGGCTTTCACAAGTGCTCCCGGGAGGACGTGCTGCAGCTGGCAGGCCTCATCTACCAGGCCCAGTTTGGCAGCGATCGTTCCCACCTAGCTAGTCTCCCCAAGATCCTGAGAGAGCTTGTGCCGGAAAACCTCACCCGCCTCATGTCCTCAGAAGAATGGAAGAAGGTTCTGGAGGGGGGGAGGGGTCCTTGGGTGGCTGCTTCTGCCAGGTCCCCCACCTGCGTGCTGGCTGATGCCCTAGGTGTGGCCCACCACCCTGCCCTCCCCACTGTCCACCACACCTTCTCCCCAAGGTCAGAGGGCATGCTCAGTTCTCTGTGCCCCACCAAGCGGCCCTCGAGACGCAGTAGGGGACAGCTGGTAGGGCAGAGTGGTGTCTCCAGACCCTTACTGCCCGCCCCCCTCCCTTAGAACATCCTGTTGGCCTGTGACAAGCACAAGGACAAAACGGTAGAGGAGGCCAAAGTGGCCTTCCTGAAGTTGATCAGCCGTTGGCACACCTTTGGGTCGGCCTTCTTCGAGGTGAAGGTAGGCTTTCCCAATCAGCCGCCACCTAGCTTAGGCCCCCCGGCCCAAGCTTCTCCCTAAAGTGACCATTCAGGTCAGGGCAGACCGTTTGGGAGGAGGAGCATGGGTGTGTGAGCACTGGCATGAATGCATGTGTGTATGTATGTACGCACGCACTCCTGCACACATGGTAGTACTTGTGTGTGGTATAGCTCAAGGAGGTAGTATTTGGCCTCTGACCTGGCCTGTGACCAAACTGTCCCTCTCCCAAGCAAACCTCCGAGCCCTCCTATCCGGATATCATCCTCATCGCCATCAACCGGCACGGAGTTCTGCTTATCCACCCGAAGACCAAGGTAGCCACGGGGGCCCTGCCTGCCATGAACACCCACAGCCCTCAGGCTCCTGGGGACCTGGGCATCAGCTCACACACAGGAGCCCCAAGTCCTTTTTTTCTGCCCTCAGGATCTGCTCACCACCTACCCCTTCACTAAGATCGCCAACTGGAGCAGCGGCAGCACCTACTTCCACATGTCGCTGGGCAGTCTGGGCCGCAGCAGCCGCCTGCTGTGTGAGACCTCCCTGGTGAGCGCCTAAACCCTCTCCCAGCCCAGATTCGCAGAGCTGTGAGGCAGGGGATTGAGCTCCCCCCATCCTGGGGCCCAACCAGGTGTTCTGTCTGTCTGAGAGCCAGGCTGGACCAGTCTCATGGGGAGCCCGTGACTGAAGGGGGCCCAGCAGCAGGAACCTTTTTCCTGCATTGCCCACTGGCCCTCTCACACAGAGCTCTGGGTACTGCCCGGCCCAGAGCCCCCCACCTCACAGCCTGCCCCTCCTTTCTACTGTCCAGGGCTACAAGATGGATGACCTGCTGACCTCCTACGTGCAGCAGATCCTGAATGCCATGAACAAGCAGCGAGGATCCCGCGCACCAGCCCTTGTCAATCCCTAGCGTGGGGACCCCTTTGCTCACTGTCAGCGCCCCCAATCAGGGGGCCTTCAGATGCCCCAAGGAGAGCCAGGGCTATCCCTCTGCAGGGAGCCAGCCATGCCCCTCTTTCCTTAAGGCCTTCACCCCATCTCCTGGAATCCTAGGATGCCCCTCCCCACGGCTACGAGTCATGGGGGCCAAAGAGGGATTCCAGGGCCTGGGGGATGCCACGAGGACCCTCTTCAGAAATGTTCAATAAATAAACCCAGGCGAGTTCCAGGCTTGCATGTCCATGAGAGGAGCAGGTGGGACCTTGAGGCAGTGGGGGCAAAGAGGGAAGAAATCAAAACTTCTCCAGGGACAGCAGAGGGAGGACAGCTCCATCCTCAGGGGATGACTCCGTTTCTCCTCCCCACTCTCCCTGCCACCCCTCCCCATTTCTGAGACTGCAGATTCTTCCTGGAAAGCCCCTGTGCAAATATTATTTTTTTCCTGCGAAGCATTAAGACACACAGCCCAGATCTAAGGGACCATGAGGCACAGGGATTGGGCGCCCTGCCCCAGCCCTGCTTCCACAGTCCTGCTGAGAGATGGACGTGTCCCTGTTTTGGGGATAGGCAGCAATGCTAGATGGACCAGCAGAGGCCTAGATGGAGACCAGGGAAGGAATCAGGAGATAAGCCTAGAAGTTCTTCGTGACTTGAGTCACTCAGGATGGAGGGCCCTGGTAGGTCAGGTGGGGCACCGGCTAGGCTGTGGGTTTTGGCCACTGCGTGTCTCAGGCTAGCATCTATGCTTGTAGAGAGCAGTGTTGGAGTCTGGTGCCACATAGCCCTGCAACCCTGCCTTGGGCCCTTGGGCACACCAAACCAGCCTCAGTAAATTGAGCGTTTGGGTCTGAACTTGTCCCTGAGTTCCCTAGCAGAACGGTTCTCCCCAGAGTGGCCACTGTCATTCTTTGTGTTCAGTGTTCTCTCGGCAGTGTGTTGCTTGGGGCCCAGGCCCAGCTCCTCAACCGTCTGTCACAAAACCAGGCAGGCCATGTGCTTGTATCAATAAGGCTTCATTCACTGTGCAAGAGAGCGACTCCCAACACCAGGCCCTGTGTTGTCTGGAGGGAAGCAAGGCGCCACCCACTGACCCCATCCCACCTGTTCTGACCTGGTCCCCAACCTCACCCACAAGCTCAGGTTGTGCCCTGGAGGCCGACAGAGGCTCCAGATATGGGGTGGAAGGTCCGGGCAGCTTTCATTCTCAGGGGCCTCGTTCCTCCTGCTGATGTGTGGGCTGCAGTGGCCGGCTTGGGCACAGGGACTTTCTGTGTTCGAGTGCGTGTGTAGCCAAGAGTGCTGAGAGCGTTCCTCCAGGGCTCCATCCATATAACTGGGCTGCCCTATAAGCCGTGTGCTCTGTGTGCTGGGGAGAGGCTGGCCAAGTTCCTTCAGGGAAACAGGAGCCTCCAGGTCCCCTGCAGGGATGTTCTGGTCAGGAGGGGCAGGGCTGGGAGCTAGGGCCCATGTCCAGGGCCAGGTGACCAGAGGTCCTGCCATGCTTCTATCCCTGGATGGCTTCTGGCTGTCACAAGCTGGTCCCAGCTCTCTCTCTCTCTCTCTCTCCATTGCCCCTCAAGGAAAGAAGGGGAGGAGCCACTGTGAGGGGGAGGGGGGAGGGGAGGAGGGGAAACAGGGTAAGGGAGAGGAGTGAAGGCAGGAGAGGGGGCAGATGCAGGGGTCCTGGGGGAAGAGGCAGGCGTGGAGGCGGCACCCCGGAGACAGCAGAGGCAGAGACAGGCAGCAGGAAGAGAGAGGCGGGCAGCAGGGGGCCTCTCAGGCCGAGTTATGGCCCACGGACTTGGGGTGTGTCTTGCGGGAGGTCAGTTCAGATAGCTTCTTCAGCCGCTTCTTCAGTTCCAGGGGAAACTTCTCGTAACACTTCTTACAGACGGGCTTCATGTCAAACTCCACAAACTTGTTCCTGGGGAGCACAAGTGCCTTCAGGAGAGCCCCGTGCTCCCTGTCTCTGAGTCAGGCCTCCACCCCCCCTCGGAGGACCTGTTCCGGCCAAGACCCAGGGCGTTCCCAGCCTCAGGACACCGTGGGCAGGAGACAGGCCTCTAGGCTGCCCTTCCCTTCCAGAGGCTTCCAGATTCTGACACTGCAGAAGCCTCCATAGGCCCCACTGTCCTCAGAAAGCCGGACTTGGTCAGTGCCTCGCCCAGTCAGCCCGCACCCCTCTGGGCCTCCTGGCTGGGTCAGCTGGCTTACCCCGGTTGGCCCTTTGGCCCAGGTGTCTGCTCCTTTTTTTTTTTTTTTTAATTTTTTGGTCATACCTGGCGATGCACAGGGGTTACTCCTGACTCTGCACTCAGGAATTACTCCTGGCGGTGCTTAGGGGATCATGTGGGACCATATGGAATGCTGGGAATCCAACCTGGGTCGGCCACATGCAAGGCAAACACCCTACCCACTGTGCTATTGCTCCAGCCCCATGGAGTCTGGTCTTGCCTCGGTGGGGCCCAGTGTGCCGGTGGGTATGTGAGGGGCTCCTATCATTCCTCTAACTGAGTCTGGGGGCCCCCTCCACCTGCTTTCAAGGGGGCCGCCCCCTTGTTCCCTCTGTATCCCCAGGCCTGGCCTTGGGGAACTTCAGGGAAGGATGCGGGGAGAAGCTGCTGGAAAGTTCACTCAAACCTGAGCCTCCCTCCCCTCCCACACCCCGTCCTCCCAGCCCATATGGGACAGGAGGAGGGAGGTCCAGGGACAGTCCCGCTATGCCCGCAGGGCCCGGGGCCGGCGCACACTCACTTCAGGGTGAGCTTGCTGTTGCAGGTGGAGCAGGAGAAGCAGTTCACACACCAGGCCTTGTTGAGGGCTGACACCACTGTTGAGGAGCAGAGGCGGACGCGCTCAGCCGGCCTCTCCCAGCTGGGCCTGCAGCTGGAGCGCGGGCAGGGGTGGGCACAGGGACAGAGGAGCCTTACCGTCCCCCTCGATCACATGGCTGCAGTTGTAGCAGACGTCCCCAAAGAGCTGCACACAGACAAGAAATGTCCATGGGGTGCCAGAGCAGGAGCCAGCACCACCAGCCCTGCCCACTCCCCACTGCCCGCCCCCTCCCCCACCGGCTGGACACCCTTAGGCACCTGCCTGTCAGGACACAGCCTCGGGCCTGAGGGAAGTGCACCTGCATACTACACACCACCGCCATCAGAACCCTCCTTGGGAAGCCCCTCAGGGTGGGGGCTGAGGAAAGGCCCTTTGGCTCCCATTTGAAGACTGAGAGGGTGTTGGCTGTGACTGAGTCCCTGTCTTCTTGAAGCTGGCCTCACATATCTCTCAGGCCCCACAAAGGACCTGGGCCATGGGGCACTCAAGCCAGGTGAGGCCTACCCTGATTCCAAGGCCCTGAGCTGGAAGCAGATGTGATGGACAGGTGCACCTACCAGAGGCGCTGACCCCACATTCTCTCCTCCCACGGCTTACCTCCCCCTGGAGCCCTCCCCTCTGTGGGCGCCCACCACCCCTCCGCCCCATGGCCTCGTCTGTCTGTCAGCTCGTCCCGCGGGCCCTGCGCCTCACCTGGTTGTAGTGGGTCTCGCAGTACGCCAGCCCCTTCTTCTCATAGTGCCGGTGGCCCAGGAATGGCTTCTCACACTTGGCACAGACGAAGTGCTGGAAGGAATGTGTGTGTGTGTGTGGGGGGGGGGGGGGGAGAGTGTCAGGGTTGAATAGTGACCTAGGGGACAGGCAGGAAGGGGGTGGAGGGCGTCCCTGGGCTCACGGCGGGCAGTGGGACTGACACCTCCATGGACTGTGGGGTCAACAGACCCAGTTCCTCTCCTAAGGCAGGGCAACACGAATGTCCCTATCCTCTCCGGCTCACTCTCTGCTGAGTGTTGGCCGAGGTGGGTGTCCTGGGACCTGTGTCTGGGGAGCCCCGTTTGCAGGTGATCAGGAGCATCTTCCCACTTGGTGAAGATTTCCTGTGTGAGGGAGTTGCGGGTCTGTACCGCCTTCTCTTAGAGGCCAGCTGAGGCAGAGCTCCAGGTAACAGAAGACCCCCGTCCAGATGGGAGTCTGTGAGGGTGTGCAGGGACCACAGTGCCGGGCTGAAGGTCCAGACAGCTGACCTGGGGTTATACAGCCAGTTCTGTCCACCAGGCACCCGAGACCCATCGACCTCACAGGTTTCCTAATGCTTTGGGAATGGAAGACCTGTGGTCAAAGGCAGGGTGGTGGTCTGTGCCCAGTCTCCAGGCTCCCCAGGGTAGGGGTGGGAATTCCCCAGGAAAAAGGTTCCTGCTGAGAAGCAGCCCCCTAAGCTGTGTGGGGGTGAGTGGAGCCAGAGATCGGGGGGATGGGGGTTGGGGGGGACGGCTTGAAGGCTGCGCTCACTCACACTGGGACTGAGCTGACCTATCTGGGGCTGTGGGCTGACCCCGCTCACCTCCACGTGCCACTGCTTGCCCAGTGCATTGACCACGCGGCCCTCGATGGGCCGGCGACAGGCCCCGCAGATGGGGACGCCCATCTTGTCATGGCAGGGCAGACAGTAGAGCTCGCCCTTCAGCTCCCGGGCCTCAGCGGTCAGCTCCTTCCTGGAAGACATCAAGGAGCCCTGGGTGGCGAGGCAGCAAGGGGCCAGCTGAGCCCCTGCAGCCCCCTGCTGAGAGGCCTGCTGTGTCCCAGCACAGCGCCCAGGGCAGCAGCCGGCCCTTTGATCTCTCTCTTGGTGGGGGGGACTTCCTGTGTCCCAGACAGGCCCCGGGCACAGAATTCCCGCATGCACAGCCCTGGCAGAAGGCGGCCTGTGTGCTGCGCTGAGAGGCCAGTCTGTTCTCCAGGCTCTGGTGTCCCGCCAGTCGCAGAGGGGTCGTCCTGCAGCCCCTCACCCCCCTCCTCCCTCCTCCGCACCTTCCTCCCCCTTGAAGGAAGGTCCACACCTTCCATTCTTCCCCCTCAGCCACCCCCCCCCCCCCCCCCCCCCCGGGCCAGCCAGGCCTCATGCAAATTCTCACGGAGAGGAGTGTCCTGTGCAGGTGACTTCTGGCCCCGTTCTCCTTCTATCCTGCACCCCCACTTTCCAGACAGCCCCTTTGCCTGTCTGCCTGCCTGCCTGCCTGCCTGCAGGCTCACCCTCTCCTGCTCCAGTGCTGCCCAGGTTGGGGGCACGTGACCTTCTCCGTCCCCCACTTCCTCAGCGTACCCGCAGTTGGTGCAGTTGAAATGGTCAGGGTGGTAGGCATCGCTCTTGTACATGAGGGGCTGCTCGTCCATGACCTGGTGGCAGCGCTGGCAGATGTACTTGCCCAGGCCCTTGGCTTTCTCCCGGTTGTGGCATGGCCGGCACAGGTGCCTGCAGGAGGCAAGGTGAGGTGTGAGGAGCAGGCAGCCATTCTTGCTCCTTGGGAGGGGCGCCCTGAACCCCTTCCTGTGGCCCCAGGTGGCAGCACAGTGAGCCCAGCCCAGCAGTGCCATGGCAGGCAGGCACCCCACAGACATGAGGGGTCTCTGCATAGCAGAACTGACCATACCAGAATGTGGACGGGGGCCAGCTTTGTCCCCAGAGCCAGGGCTAGAAGAAAGTCTTCCTTTTCTGCTTTCTGCTCTTGCTGAACCCAGGCATCGTTCTGAAATAGATGCTTATTTATATTGCTCAAAATTTGTTTTAGTCTGCCAGTCTTTAAAAACACGTGTGATAACAGTGACCCTAAGACTTCACTTTGCCTCGCAGAGATGCCAAGAGACACCAGGTCCTGGGGGCCCACTCAGCCCTTCCTTTGGGGTATGCCAGACAAAGAGGGACCCGAACATCCACAGGCTCTTTCTGTCCCCCAGAACAAGCAGGGCTGTGTAAGACAGAGGCCCCGAACCGGGAACTGTCGCCACAGAGTCTTTTTTTGTGAAGACGCAAGTGATTTCTGATGCCGATCGCGGCCTTGGGCAACAGCTGTGGTCTCTGCTCAGGGAAATCAAAACGGGTTCTGTTTCCTGAAACCTCCAAGGTGACAGGAATTAGGATTCAAAGTCTCTAGTCAAAGATGTACAAAGACAGCCAGAGCTGGACCCCATCACTCACAAGCAGATCAGGATCCCCCAACCAGGTGTGAGGGGAGGGCAAATTCTAGATACCAGGCACGGCTGACTCCGGACCCATGCCTGTGACCACAGTGCTACCATAAGCATCACTCTGCCCTCGGCTCAGGCTGTGGCCTCTTATCCCCAGCAGCGGGTGTGATGGCTGGCCGGCCCAGTGTGCGCCCAGGAGCTACTCATTGTGTTGCTGGCTCTCACCAGTTTTGTTTTCTTTTTGCTTTTTGGGTCACACCCGGTGATGCACAGGGCAAACTCCTGGCTCTTCACTCAGGAATTACTCCTGGTGGTGCTCAGGTGGTGCTCAGGGGACCATATGGGATACTGGGGATCGAACCTGGCCCAGCCGCATGCAAGGCAAACGCCCTACACGCTGTGTTATCACTCCAATCCCTCTCACCCGTATTTTGCTAGATCCCTGGTGCCTGCTCAGAGCAGGAGCCCAGGATGAATGTACTGGAACTTGAAGGAATGAATGATGGCAAAGGGCACTGTGGGCATCACCTTTCCATGGCAATTTGGACAGATGGCGACTGGGACAGTTTCCCGACCTGTTTCTCAGCCTGATGTGGTCTGCGGATGAAACCTTTGGTTGAAGGCTTCATTGTGTGATGAAGATTTGATCCCTTTCAGTCTCCAGATCCCTGATATCCCATGGGCTTTGTCCAGCCCACCCTCACCTAGAACTCCTGTGTCCCTGGCTCCATGGGGGCCAGGGTGGGGAGCTAGTCTCCACATCAGGTCTGAGGCAGAGCCCATCCTTCTAGCAACACTCCAGAGCTGCCCCTGGCCAGGACACCTCCCCACCAACTCGAGTCTCTGTCTTGGGCATGGCATTTCTCCCCAGCACCTCACCCCCAGTTCTGGTGACTCCTCTTGGCAGGAGAACATTCAACGCATGCAGAGTAACTTCTGTTTCAAAGTTAGAGAAATTTGCAATAGCCAATGCTTTTATAACCAATAAAAGAAATGTCAAGGTCAGGGCAGCAGTCAGAGGTGATTTTAAACCAGCTTGAACCAGTTCTTCCAGTCATTCATGCCAAGATGGAAAGGGACCATGTCCTACTCCACACAGACACCCACCCACTGGCTCACAAGTGAGATGGAAATAAAGAGGCTCCTGAGAAGGGATCCCAGTGGGAATTCCTGAGAAGGAATCTTGATAGATGTGCCCCAGCACCAATGCAAAGGCAGCCTGCAGATATTTTTTCCCAGAGAGAATGGACATGAAAACTAAGAATTCTAGTTTCAAGGAGATACAGAAATAATGGACCCCTCTGTCCTCTGCCCCACCCCCCATATACAGACACACACACACACACATACACACACAAACACACATACTTAAGGCTTGGAGACACAGTTAGACAGAATAATAGCACATGCCTTGTTTTAAAATCTGTCTCTGCCACATTCTAGTGATTTCTCTTTGGCGAGTGATTTTATCTCACCAAGTCTCAGTTTCCTTGTCTGTAAAGTAAACAAATATCCCATCAGCACAGGATTTTGTGAAAAATAAAATAAAATTTTACATAGCACAGGTGTTAAGTCCTTCTCAAGACAGCAATGTGCACTTCCCTCCAATGTTCTTCCTAAGGGAATGAAAAGTTTTTGGAAAGCAGGAACTGTAATTTGGTTTTCTGACACCCCTTTAGGAGGACAGGAGGAGCCAGCTTTGTGCACACAGTCTCAGGTGCAGCCCCCTCCGAGCATGAAGCCAACCTCAGGAGACGTCTCAGGGGCCAGCGACCTGTGGGCTGCAGAACTCCGCACGGTATCTGGACCACAGGAGAAGCCCTCAGAGGCAAGGGCTGGGTCTCCCGCGGGTCTCCAGGGCTGAACTGCTTGCCCAGAGACCCAGACAGCGCCCCATTATGAGGCGGTTTGCAGCTGTGTCCCGCGGGAGATAAAGGCCGTGATTTATTCTGCACGTCTGAACGGAGCCTAATTATACGGGGCAGGACACAAGAACTCTACAGCGAGTGTCCTGAAAGACTCCCCTCTCTTTCCCCCAACAAGACTCCTCAGCCTGCCCTCCTCCCCATTCACAAGACCCTCCTCTGCTGGGGTGGCGAGAGGGTTTGGGAGCCTGGGTTGGTTGCTCTGGCAGCAGGCCCCTCCCTGAGCCCCCATTGGTAGGAAGCAATTGGGGGGGGGGCCTGAAACATCCTGTTGTGTTAGTCCTGGCCAGTGCCCCCACCCAGCCCGCGCCCACTCCACTGCTTCGAGGACAGCCGCACACTCAGCTTCTGTGACACTCGGGGGCCAAGCTGCAGTGGGGGTGGGGCCCCGGGAGTGGGGACACTGGAATATTCACAGGCTGATGGCAGCAGAGGCAGCCCTGGAGGAGTGGCCCACCACATACAAAAAAAATAAGACCCCTTGGGAATGAAGCCTCCTTTCAGGGTGGCAGGGGCTGGAGTCTCTCCTCCCCTCCTTAAATAGCTGCCTCCCACCAGCCACCCCACAGAGGAAGCCCGCGGCACCCACTGACCCCTGCCACTGGACCCTGGAGAGGTAAGGGCTGGGCTGGGTGGCCAGGAGGGGAACTCAGGGGCCAGCTCAGGAGCGACTCAGGGAGGAGCCCCTGTGGGAGTATCCCGATGGGCCGTGACGGGTGCCTGGCTGGCTGTCCCCATCTGGGTTACAGGGCAGAGGACAAATTAAGCACAGTGCCTTGGGGGTCTCCTGCATGGTTGGTCTCCGTGAAGACCCTGCTCACCCTCATGGAGGGAGGTCCTGCCTTGTCACTGAGGGTCTTGTCTTTCCGTTCTGCACTGGGCCCGGAGTGATGCCAATGACTTGAGGAGGTGGCCCCTGGGCTGGCGGGTCACACATGAGCTTGGAGACCTAGTCACAGACATGAGGCCAGGGTCCCTGATCTGTCCTCTGAGGCCAGGGTCATGTCCCTACTTAACTGACTGACCCTGGTAGGTCAGAGGGTTCTGAACCTTGACTTACCACCCTGGAAGGAGGGCCTGCTGTGAGCTGTGCACAGCCCCTCTCCTCTGCAGGCTGGTCTCCTGGCAGTCAGGAGGGGCAGCTTGGAGTGGCGGGTGCCCTTCTTAGTCAAACAAACACCTCAGTCACTTGTCCCCAGCCTCCTGCAGGCCTTCCCCAGGCACACAGGGTGCAGAGACTGGACGCTGGTCAGCCTGACAGTCCAGCATACCCATACACTGGGCTTCTGGCCCCACTTCCTAAACCAAAGGTGGGCAGCCCAGTCTGCTCACCATCCTATTTCTCCATCCTCCCATCCTCCTCCTCTCTGAGCAACTGCTCTAACTGGCCTGTCACTGCACCCCTGAACCACACCAGTTTTCCTGCCAGCCAGCCGGCTAGAGGTTAGAGGTCAGGACCGACCATCTGCAAGGGGTCTACAGGGCATCTGCCCCAGTCTGCTCCCCAGCACTCAGGGTAGAGCAGGATAAGGATGCGACCAAGTTGCTGAGGATACAGGTCTCATGTCCCCTTCCCTGATGCTTGGGGCTGGCTTCTCTCCCTCTAGTGCTTCTGTGGCCCAGCCTGCCTGGTAGAGAGTATGGCTTCTGGGAGGTGGATCTTCCAGGAAAGCCCCCCAAACTGTGCTACAGGCGAGGGTCCCCCAGGCAGAGGGTGGCAGGATGGAGACTGCCCTAGCCCCACGGTCCTACCCTCTCCTGCCCACACTCCCACTTTGGGGGCAGCAGGAGAGATGGCAAAGAAGGTTCCCTGGAGGGGAGAGCGGTGCTGCAGTCTGGGAAACACACTCATGGCTGGTGCAGGCTCAGGGTTGCATGGTTGAGGGGGCAGGGAGGCTGAAGAGCTGCAGGCTAGGGAACAGTCAACCCACCCAGACCCATTCAGCTAGTGTACCTGGGGTGCAGGAAAGAAAAAGAGGAGGTCCTCCGGCCCCCATTCCCCTCTCCCAACCATGACTAAAGAAAGGAAAAATCTCAGGATGAGACCCTGCAAAGTGAAAACCATCTCCCAGTTTTTATCTTGGTAGCTTTCGATCACACACATCCAAGCCCCACTCCCTGGAAGCCCTGTAAGAAGCTTGAAAACCACTGCCTTATCAGATGTGCAAATTCCCAAGGAAATTTGAGATGTCCTCCCGTCTCTCCTGACCCTCAGAAGGGGGTGCACCCTCCTCTCCCCACTGTGACTCTGTCCCCACAGAATTTGACAGAGGGTTTCTAAGACCCTAGCCTGACGCCCAGCCCTTGTGCATGTGGTAGGGATACAGCAGCCCTGCCAAGCTCCACGCCCTGGTTTGCTTTTCACTTTTTGCCCAAATCCAGAAAGTCTGCGACACGAGCCCATCTCCAGATGAACACTGAAGGTGCCTTCAGTGATTCGAAGACAGTGTCAGTGTGGAAAGAAAGTATCCTGGGGGTGGGGCTGGCTGGCACAGAAGGCCACAAAGGGCAGCTTCTGGACCTCCACAGAGGGTGACACCTCACTGGGTCCAGGCTCCCTGGGACCCATTTCTTTACTCCCTTCAGGCACATCCTCAGTCGAGCTCTGTTTCCGGCCGAAGCATGAATGGCTTCGAGGTGGCCTCCCCAGGTCTGACCGCCAATGCTTCCCTGGCCTCCGCTGAGCAATGCGGCCAGGAGACGCCACTGGAGAACGTCCTCTTCGCCTCCTTCTACCTCCTGGATTTCATCTTGGCTTTCGTTGGCAATGCCCTGGCCTTGTGGCTGTTCATCCGGGACCACAAGTCGGGCACGCCAGCTAACGTGTTCCTGATGCACCTGGCTGTGGCTGACTTGTCCTGTGTGCTCGTCCTGCCCACGCGCCTCGTCTACCACTTCTCTGGGAACCACTGGCCGTTTGGGGAGATCCCCTGCCGGCTCACCGGCTTCCTCTTCTACCTCAACATGTACGCCAGCATCTACTTCCTCACCTGCATCAGCGCTGACCGCTTCCTGGCCATCGTGCACCCCGTCAAGTCTCTCAAGCTCCGCCGGCCCCTCTACGCCCACCTGGCCTGCGCCTTCCTCTGGGTGGTGGTGGCCGTGGCCATGGCCCCGCTGCTCGTGAGCCCGCAGACCGTGCAAACCAACCACACGGTGGTCTGCCTGCAGCTCTACCGGGAGAAGGCCTCCCACCATGCCCTGGTGTCCCTGGCCGTGGCCTTCACCTTCCCCTTTGTCACCACGGTCACCTGCTACCTGCTGATCATCCGCAGCCTGCGGCAGGGTCCCCGGGTGGAAAAGCGCCTGAAGAACAAGGCCGTGCGCATGATTGCCATGGTGCTGGCCATCTTCTTGGTGTGCTTCGTGCCCTACCACGTCAACCGCTCCGTCTACGTGCTGCACTACCGAGGCCGCGGCACCTCGTGCACCGCCCAGCGTGTGCTGGCCCTGGGCAACCGCATCACCTCCTGTCTCACCAGTCTCAACGGGGCGCTCGACCCGGTCATGTACTTCTTCGTGGCCGAGAAGTTCAGAGAGGCCCTGTGCAAACTGGTCTGTGGGAAACGGCTCTCGGGCCCGCCCCCCAGTTTCGAAGGCAAAACCAACGAGAGCTCGCTGAGCGCCCGGTCGGAGCTGTGAGAGTCAGGGGCACCCGCACCAGGGTGCGGTGGCACCCAGATCCACGAAGGGGAAATTCACCTCTTCTCCAGCTCATCCCCTGCCCCTTCCCCTCCAACTATGGGAAAAGAAACCGGAAGCTTGGGGCGTCACTGTCTTGTCCCCCCACCCTCACCCCTGAGTGACACCCATCTCCCCCACTCCAGCTCCAGCCAGTTTTACTGCTGTGGCATCTTTCCACATACCACTGGCCATGTGTGAAAAGACTGAAGGCCACGGAGGCGCAGATCCCTAAGAGTTGGTGGTTAGCTGCTGCCCCTCTGCAGACGGCACTGCACCCCGCCCCCACTACAGAAACCAGATACTTGGTGACTTCATCCACAGCAAATGGGGGGGTGGGGGTGAGGAGGCCCAAGGATCCCTCCCCAACAATGAGTGTCTTTCTTCCCCAAGTGCCTCCTGCTAGGCTCTCAGCCTTTTTTCCCACTGGAGAGAGGCATGAGCTTGAGGCTCCACAGAAAGTTCCTCAGCAGGCAGAAGCAAATAACCCCCCAGAAAAAGAAAGGGGTTTGAGGTAGAGAGTTGGATATTTCCTAGGAAGTTCAAGAAAGTGCTCTGAGGTCCCTTTGTGGTGACTTGGCCAGGAGACTTGTGCATTGAAGGGCTACAAAACCTATGTTTGATTGCTGAGCACTCAAAGTATATTCCATGCGGGTCAGCAGGTGACCTCCAGGGAATGTGGCCCAAGAGCTCAATGTGGGGTTCCCCACCCTCCTCCTGCCAACCCACAAGCAGATCTGCCCTGACAATCCCTGGAGCTTCTATGGAATTCCATGCAGATCTGCTTCCTCTGGAGTTTGGGTTGGGTACCCTGCATAGGTCATGGTCACAAGACTGGAGTTTTGTCACCATCAGAAGACACAGAAAGTAGGGAGAAGGGCCTGGTGTGTGTCTAACTCCGTCCCATCAATGGGCGTCCTGACCCCTTGCCTGCCCAGTAGCCACCACCAGCCTTGGTGCCGACCAAGCTGGAAGCTCTCTCACTTTATTGGGTGGCATGAAAGACCCTAATGATCTTGGGTGGCTGAAGAGTAGGCAGAGCGGCAAGAAAGGGGGGCATGACATTGAAAGGTACTGAGAAACCAGAGGGGAGCCACAGGGACCCCTGGGCCTGGCTGGGCGGAGGTCACAGGGACCCCTACTGCTCTGCAGAGTGGGGAACAGAGTAAAGGTGGCAGTTGTGCCTGCTGTTGGCGCTGCAGAGAACTGCATTGGGAGGAAGCCCAGTGGCATTTTGAACCTCCGGGATGTGTAGGAAAGGAAAAGGGGGCGGGCGAAGGGAAACAAAGGCAACAGGCTCTTGCTCCAGTGGTTGGTCAGGTGCCCGCCCTAAAAAGGAAAAAGGGTATGCAACAGGGCTGCCCCTAGAATCTACTCCGGAGGAAGTAAGAGGTACCATAGGTGTAGGACAGATGTAGGACATAGGATGGAGAGAGAGGAGCCGTTGACAGAAAAATGGCCAGTGAATTGATGAGTGTATTGGGACCCCCTTCATCCAAACTACAAGGAGGGAGGTGGAAGTTTGGGGTCAGCAGCAAGGAGAGGCCAACTTGCTGTGCGACTCCAAGTGCGACTCCAAGTCCCTCCTAAGACTCCGCTCTGCCTTCCCCCAGGTTGCCTTCTGTCAACTCCAGACCTCCCCATCAGCCTGCATGCTCTCTCTCCAGCCTTGTGAATTCTTATTAGGCGACTGTGTGTGGGGAGGGGTGCTCCCAAGTAGTGCTCAGGGGCCTGGAACATTCTTGGTGATATCTGACCAACGGGGCTGGACCCTTCAATGGTGGAGTATATCTGGTGGGGCTTGGGTGTCCATGCTATGCTGGGGGATCAAACTCAGGTCCTTGCGCACCATCCCTGACCCCTTAGCTATCTCCCAGGCCCTATTCAGCTTCATTTCTTACCAGCAGGTTTTGGTAAGACAAAAGGCCATGGACAAAACACAGTCTTCCAAACCCAGCTGATGGGGACGGGGTTGTGTTCTCCTGTCCTGGACCAACCTCTCACCTGCCCGCATTCTTCACGAAGCCCAGGTCAGCCAGCTCCGCGTCACACAGCTCGCAGCGGAAGCAGCCCGGGTGCCAGTTGTTGTTCATGGCCTTGATGACACGGCCGATGATGAACTCACCTGGAGGAGAGAGGTCCCTGCTCACCTGGGCGGAGCACCAGCTGCCCTGCTTCTCTCCACAGGACTCTCCCAAGACAGATGTCGGGCACCCTCTGAGAGCTGGGCCAGGTCTTGTCTGCAGGGGCTCAGAGCTGGGGCTCAGAGAGTGGTGGTGAGGGAAGAGCCCCCTGCCCCCATCTCCCCAGGCCCAAGGACTGTGCTGCGCCAGCTCTTACCGCAGGATCCGCAGCATGGAGCAAACAGCATCTGGAAATCGTGTTCACAGTACTTTCGGCCTTCGAACTGCAAATAGGACCAGCAGAGAAAAGGTGACCAACCAGAGTCAACTTCACAGAGCTGCTCTGCTGGGCTCTGGCCCATGAGGCCCTGACTTGGGTTCAGGCTGGACATAGCTCCTCTTTGTACAAGGGCTAAGGCTGCAGGGGGAGGGGCACCCACCCCTCCTCCAGAGAGGATTTCCTGGGGCAGAAGGCTCAAGGAGGTGCAGGGTAACTGGGACAGACCGGAGACAGAGGGTGTTTCAGAGGGAGAGCGGCAAGTTCCGGATGCGGGGATGGGAGGAAGCTGGGACGCATAAGGGCGACGGTCTCACGGAAACTGGGCACTCACTCCAATGGCCACTTCTCACAGCTGCTGCCTGAGGATCGGGGCCCTTGTTGGTCCTGGGAGCAAGTGGAGGACTGGGAAGTGGGGTGAGGGGAGCGTGGGCCGGGAGGGCAGGATGAAGTTTCTAATGTTTGTGTCCTTCTGCTCAATTTCCTGTGTTTGCCACGTGTGAGAAATCCGTTTCCCCCAGAGGCCATACAAGACACAGGGAGAGGAAAGAGAAGGGGGGCACAGAGGAAGAGCTCAGGGTGAGCCTGAGAGGGAATTCTGATTCCTCCCGCCAGAGGGAGCCGGTGTGGACACCAGCAGGCAATCAAACTCCCAGTCTGCCGGAGGATGGGACCTCTGCATTCCTCTTTAACACATTTTTTCCTTTTGGGTCACACCCGGCAATGCTCAGGGGTTACTTCTGGCTCTGCCTCAGAAATTATTCCTAGAAGTGCTCGGGGGACCATATAGGACTCCAGGGATTGAACCCAGTTCAGCCGCATGCAAGGCAAATGCCCTCCCCGCTGTACTATGGCTCTGGTTCCAACACATTTATATTCTTTTCAAGAAATGTGACTTTTAGGGTTAGAGAATTATACTGGGGTTAAGTCACTTGCCTTGCATAAGGTTGACTCTGGTTGGTTTGATGCCAACAACAGCACATGGGTGCCTCTGAGCTACCAGGACTGATCTCTGGGCACAGAGTCAGTGGAACCACTGAGCATCTCCAGATGTGGCCCCCAAACAAACTTGGCTCCCTTCTTCTCTAATGTTCAGTCTTATGAGGTTGCAACTGGTTAGAGTCCTACCAAGCAGCCGATCAAGGTAGCAGGAGTTTAGATCCATTTAGAAATGGGGATTTCCGGAGCACCTCTTGCATGCAGGCTTGGGGTGCCTGAGCTCCAATCACGCATCTCTGCCCTGGCCCACAGCACACATGGACAGTCAGCATTTCCAGGAGGCACCAGCAGATGGACACCTGCTTCAGTCTGACCCAGTAGATCACATCCCACAGTCCCCCAATTCGAACTTTGCTGTCCTTGAAATCTAGCCTCTGGAAACTGGCTACGACAAGACACCAGGAGTGTATGACAGAACTGAACAATGGGCTCTGGGTGGGCTGGTCTGTATTGCGGGACAGCTAGTACAGTGTGAATAATACTGTGGCCCACGGGTCAGCATTGGTTGAGAAGACAAGGGCCGGGCTACCACTGTATAATGTTCTCACCACTAAGGTACAATAGTGACATGTAGCAGCAGCATAGATATAGTAAAATGCAATCAAATAATTAGGAGGTCGTAAGTTTTGAGTATCTATTACCTTAGTTTTAAATAAAGTTGTATCTTATTCCAAGTTTATAACATTACAAACAATTTTTTGTGTGGTATGGGGACACAACCCAGGGCCTCGCATATGTGTGGCATGTGCTGTATCACTGAGCCCCACCCCAGGTTGTTATTTAGTTCTTTGGGCCACACCCAGCTGTGCTCAGGGCTTGCTCCTGGCTCTGTGCCTGGGGGTCACTCTAGGTAATACTTGGATACTACCTGGGGTCCAGGGAATTGAAGCGTGGTCGGCTGCATGCAAGGTAAATGCCCTCTCCACTGTACTATTGCTGCACCCATTCACTTAGCTTTTAATAATGATCCTGGTTAACACATAGCTGATGAGACTGTGGAAAATTTAACAAATTACTCTTCTGAGTCATAGGGGGCCAGTCGAAGTTCCTTGACTTTCTTCTGGATTGTTGCAACAATCCAACTTCCGGTCCCTCCTCGTTTTCTAGCTCCTGCCCTGGGCCCACTCACTTCTCAGCATAGAAACAGGACTGCTTTATCCAAATATTGGAAAGAGACTGTGATTGTTGCACACCTTGCTGTGGCTCTCGGAGTGAAATCTTAAGGCCCAAACAAAATATTCTGTTTCCTGCTGCTGCCTCTCCTTTTCTCCTTCTAGCACAACTGCTCCCCAAGAATTCTCAAATACCCTGCATGCTCCCACCACAGGGCCTTTGCAATGGCTGTGCCCTTTGCTGGGTGCCCTCTCTGTATGTACAAGACTCCCTCATTAACTTCAGATCTCTCAGACATTACGTACCCCCAGCCCCCTCGAGTCTGCTTAGACCAGAGAACACCACGTGCATTCGTTGTGTTTACTATCTGATGCCCTGAGAAGGTGAGTAGCACAGCTGAAGGGTTTTGCACTGAAAGCCTCCCAGAGTCTGACCAGTGGAAGCTGCATAAACAGGACTTTCCTGAGCCTCCACGGCCACAGGCAAGCCTTAGTCTCTTCTCAGAGGTGAGGGAGGGATCAACAAGCAGCTAGCAAGGTTCTGTCCTCCGAAAGAGCTGCTCAGCTCGAGGCCTGGCATGACTGCCCTATGGGGCACTCACTAGCCCCTAGAGGCAGCTTCTGAGCCTCCCTGCTCCAGAAGGCAGCTTCTGAGCTCAGGCTCCTGGAAGGCAGCTGTGGAGGGTCCTGGGAACAGCCTACCTCATAGAAGAGTCCCTCGGGGAACGGCCGGAAGCACTGAGCACACACGAAACAGTGCTCATGATACAGTTCTCCATTGCTGTTGACGATGCGCTCGGCAGGGGTGAAGCGGGCCTGGCAGCGCTGGCATTCGGCATTGGCCAAGGCGTTGGACATGTTGCTGGGAGGGAAAAACCATAGGAAGATCAGCACTGGAAAGGACAGGGGGAGAGGGGTAGATGGGGTTGCCCCTTATGCCTGCAAACACGTTCCAGCCTAAGGAAACCTGCTGTCCTCTTCCTGGTGACCACTTCCACACTGTAATCACACAGGCCAAACTGTCTGCTGCTGCCTGTCTGCCACCACTCTTTCCCCCCCCTCCGCCCCCATGGTGTGAATGTGCTAAGTGCCAGTGCCTGCCAGAGGCTGCTAAATGCCTTCCCAGGTGACAATCCTGCAGGACCAAAACAGGTCATCTGGCACAAATGACCTGTCACAGCTTGGCGAGCATGAGCGAACTGCTGGAAAACTACAGTAAGCACAGGCAAAGCTGGGATTAGAAATCAGTGCCCTCCCACCCCTCACCCCCTTCCCCACTGCACTCCGCAGCACCCCCTGACCCACAGGGTGCATGTCCCTGGAGCTGGGGAGGGATGGTGAGCCATGGGAGGGATACGCACTGCCTGGTCAGGACTCAAGTGGGAAGTTCACTCAGGTGCAGCTTTGCACCTTCCCAGCTGGTGAAGGGCCTGAACCATAGTTGCAGGGGCCCAGGAGCCGGTAAGATGAGGGACTATGCAGAAGCATCTGACACAGTACTTGGCCCAGACCAAGTCCTTACAAAGGAGGCCATGGGTTGTCCAGGTCGCTGACTTGCTTTCTCCTCACCATGTCGGCCCATCTACTGGGGTCACCCCATCTCTCTCTTACATCTCCTTCCTGGGTTTGGGTTCAGCACATGACCCAGGCACTGGTGGGTAGCCCTGTAGTCTCACTCTTACTTAATCCCAGAAACCCTTATGCTTTCCACGTGAAGAGCCAAGAGCCAAGGCTTCGAGCTTTGTTAAGATCCTTGCCCAAGTTCACGCAGCACATAAAAGAGTCGAGGTTGGAGCCCAAGTTGGCCAGATTTTAATGGTTCTTTCCTCAGGACCATAAGTTATTTCGAATCCTTTGCCACTCCCCAGCCAACACATAAGGTGTGAGTCTGAGCTTTGGGATGGGAACACGGTGGGCAGAAAATTGCTCCATCTCCTCAACCTTGAGGAGCAACTGCTGTCCCCTGGAACTATCCCGCACAATGTTTATATTGCGTCAGCCCAGTGTTCCTGTGGCGAAGCCAGGAGACCGGTTGTGGAGCCTGTGCCGTGTGCCTGGTGCTCAGGTCCTTCGCCATGAGGGGAGCAAAACAGGTTTTAATTCCACGTGTCAACTACAGTGAATTGGTGGCTGCCCCCGGGTGTGACTGAATGAGAAGGCTGATCAGGTTCAAGGTAGCGAGACACATCGGTTGGCAATGTCTGGCTGGCAGAGTGGCGTGGCACCGCTGACCACTTGGAGATGCCTCAGCTGCAGGCTCTGGGGAACTGAATCCCACCCCTCCCTCTCTGTCATATCACCACGGGAAGTTCTGAGTGTGTGACACTCTCGGAGGAGAGCAGGGGGTGGTCTCAGAGCTCGGAGGAGGTGCTGCCTCCTCAGGCCTGTGGGCACTGGGTCTATACTGGGAGAGCTGCTGTCACGCGGACACGGGCTGGGAGCTGGGAAGAGGTAGGCAGCACTCCCCCTTCCTCCACCCCCTGCTTGGCATGCTGATCTCCATGGCAGGGTCTGCTCCAGAAGGCCTCTCAGCAAGTCACGCCAGGCATGCAGGATTTTTCTCTGCTTCAGCCCACCCTCGGCCTTGCTTTAGGACCAAAGCCCAGTTCTCTGTATCTTAGGCTGCAGGGCCCAGGAAGAGGGAGAGAGGTAGAACCTGGGATAAAAGGGAAAGTGTGTCCCGCGCCACAGTTTCCTGAGACCCAGCGGCTGGTCTCCAGGAGGTGGACTGGGCAGGACGGCCCTAGGGAACTGGCTGGGACTTCGTCAGCATGGCTGGGGTTTCCTGCCTGAGAACACTGTGAACCTGAAGGCCTTTTCCTCCAGAGCACATGCCCAAGTGCGAGAGCAGCTCAACGCTTGAAGGAGGACAGCACCTTCTGGGTCTGGGTACAACCAGAAGACAAGAGGAAATCCTGTGACTTGGGGTCCAAAAGACCAGAACATGAAGCCGAAATGAGGATTCAAATCCAGCTCCCTGGCTTCATCTTGCTCACATTGCCAACTGAGCACAAAGCAAACTCATCTTCCCTTTGTCCTGGCAGCACCTCAGGTCTGGGCCCCTCAGGAACGCGCAGGCCAGCTGTGTCTGGACAGTAGCCATCCTTCCCTTTTCTTTTTTTCTTTTTCTTTTCTTGGCTTATGAAGAGTTCTCTGCCAGGTCCTTGGGCCTCTTGGGTCAAGATTTTGATAGCATCTATCTCCTACATACTTCACCTAAGCCCTGGCCACAGGTGAGAAGCGTTTGGGGGTACCACCATCCTCCAGTACTGCCTGTCTGCCCTAGTTTAGGATAAGAAACTCTCCAGTTTCTTATGGCTGCTGGTCCATGCCACCCTGCTTAGAAATACAAAAAGCACTCCCACCAAGACCTTCTCTCTGGTGAAAGACAGAAGCACGACAGATGTACAAATAACCGTGTGCCCAACAACTAGATCCATCATGGAGAAAATGTGTCCTATAAAAGAGGTAATGAGACAATAGGGTCCTGTAGGTCCCCCCACACATTCCGGCTCACAAAACCCACAGACAACAGCTGGGGGACCCCAGAAAGAGCAGCAGCTTCTCTGGACTTTGAGTCCTCATCTCTAAAGAGGTGTGCCCGAGGAATAGAGGCTACCTGGCAGAGCTGAACTGAAGAACTTGGCTCACAACATGTTGCACAAGCAGCTAAGTGTGGGATAAAGGAGTTGTTGTTTTCTGCAGTTCTGAGCCTTTCAGAGTCCCTTCACTCAGGCCTGCCCCGCAAGAGGGCAAAGGGTGGGAGCCACAAACATTCCACATTCTGCATCACACATTCCGGCCAAGCACAGGGAGCACAAAGTCTTCCCAGTAATTCCCCAAGGAGTTATCCTGCCCGCCCCAGCTGGACAGAGCACTTGCATGCGCGCGCACATGCACACACACACACACACACACACACACACACACACACTTCTGAGAACATGTCCAGCCTCCTGGAACTCAAATCCCAGTACTGAGGGAGAGCACACCCATCTGGAGAACAGTTCTCCATCCCTAATTCTCCCCAACTCTCCTCTATCAAACATTCTCAGTTACTACAGTTAACCCAATATGTTGCCAGATCTAAGAATTTGGCAGGAAAAATAGAGTTCAGCAGGCCAGGTACTCTGTATGAGATGCCCGTCAGTGCTGACTGGCATTAGCATGCCCATGTGTCCTCCTTGCTTCTTGGGCATGGTCTGGAGGTGCATCCTTCCTGTGGACTCCTTCTCCAGCATGGCCCACCAGTCCTGGAATACCCTGTTCCCTGAACTGTGGCTCACTGCGTGAAATTCTGAATCATCTGGTACCAAAACATAGCAAGGGTTTCCATTCTAGCATAGCCACAATCAGGGGAATCATTTGGCCTGCAAAGCCTTAGGTTCCCCACCCAAGCTAGGAGCTTGTTCGGACCCACAGCATCATGCATGGCCCCGAGGGGATTCTGATACAGCTCCGCTCTTGGGGTTCCCCCAAGGGCATAGCTCTGTCCTCTCAGCTCCCACTCCCCACCTGGTTCTGTTTCTTCCCTCCATTTCCCCCCTCCCAAGAAGTCTTTAGGCTTCAACCTGCTGTCTCTGGAGGGCTGCCTGACCACACACTACTAGAGGCTCCGTTTTCACTGGTGGTGCATTAACCAGCTCTCTGCTTCTTTTACTCTAGGGTGCCCAACCCCTTCTCTAGACTCAGCATTCTCTCCTCTAGTTTATCACCCACCTCTTTCTCTGAGGCCCCCACTTCTCACTATGATGCCTTAGACCTCCAAGCCCACAGTTCTTGCTTTCTCCCCAACATCTATGAGCTAGTTCCTCCCAGAGAGGTCCCGGGGATCCCCAAACTCTCTTGTCTTGGCGGCCTCCCCCTAACTCCGAGGCTTGATGGAGATACCCATCATCCATGTCCTCCCCTTACACCTCCTCCATCTCATTTTTATTCATTTTATTCATCTTCAGAGATTCCCACCTTAAGGCCTATCCTGAATCTCACCTATCTCACTTAGCTTTCTCTAAAAGAATTTAACCATTGGTCTACACTAAAAGTTAGGGCAGTGTAGACTTGAGGTTCACACTACACATTGCTGAGCCATTTGCCAGAGGATGAGGATTTAGTTGAGTTTAGATGAGTTAGTTGAGGTTCACACTACACATTGCTGAGCCATTTGCCAGAGGATGAGGATTTTTTTTTTATCACCATGAGATACAGTCACAAAACTTTCATGTTTGAGTTTCAGCCCTACAATGATCGAACACCCATCCCTGCACCAGCACACATTCTCCACCTCCAATGTCCCCAGTATTACCACCCCCTCCCTGCTATTCCAACCCTCCCCCTGCCTCAATAGCAGACAATTTCCCCCCCTACTCTCTCTCTACTTTTGAGTATTATGGCTTGCAGTACAGATACTGAGAGGCTATCAGTTGGGTCCTTCATCTAGTTTCAGCACACATGATGAGGAATGTTTAAGGCGCTGTTCCTGGACGCCCAACTGGTCCCTCCATAAAGCCGCAATAAAAGATGCCCAGTCTGGGGGCTGGAGCGATAGCACAACGGGTAGGATGTTTGCCTTGAACGCTGGGGTTGGATTCCCAGCATCCCATATGGTCCTCTGAGCACAGCCAGGAGTAATTCCTGAGTGCATGAGCCAGGGCCAACTCCTATGCATTGCCAGATGTGACCCAAAAAGAAAAAAAAAAGATGTCCAGTCTGAAAGCAGGAATAGGGGTTCCGGGGAGACCCCTGTCCCCCAGCCCCCCTCTCAGCACCCTCCCCAGGAACACGCATCCCAGGAGACAGCAAACTCCTTCTCCCGACCGCCCACCCAAGCGCTGTCCCCACACCCTGCGCCGTCGTCGTCGTCGG